ATACAAACAATAATCACTTTACAATAGACCAATAGAAAACAGACTGTTTATGTTTATGTGCAGGAGCTACAGCAGATAATCGTTAACCAATCAGAACGAATCAAAACCAGCTTCAAAGTCGACATATTTCAACACTCAGCCTCACACAGGCTCCTCCCACATCACACAGGCTCCTCCCAGGCTCCTCCCACATCACAAGTCTGAACTAATAAATGTCCTTTTAATCCAGACTCAAACCGATTGTCCGTAAAAAGAAAATAATCTCAGTGTTGCACATGGATCTGTGTGTGTGTGAGTGTAAACAAACACACGTGACTCTGTGGTGTGTTCAGGGACAGTACGACACACACACACACACACACACAGACAAATGACTCTGCAGATAAATACTGATGCAGAGTCACATATTAACACATTTATTCATCTGTAAATTGGATTAAATGAACAGAATGTAGAGAGTCTAAGATTTATAACGAGGTATAACATGCCCATGTGAAATATCGGCTGATCTGAGCTCCTGAAACTGATCCATATCTGATCTTTAACATGTGACTTCAGTGTGAACGGTCAGGTCACATTCATCCACCTACACGTCATCAACAAGACACAAACGTCACTATTCTGCACTGAAGTAGGAGAAAACTGTTCATGATCCATGTGACTGAAGTGAAGCACATCTCCACTCACCACAAAACACCACCACCAAAAACCTGGTCCTTCTCCTTCTCAATCTCCTCCTTAAAACAAGTCAGTTGTTCATGTTGTGGCTCCGGTACGAGAGGAACTTTAAAATCTCCAGGTGCTCGATGCTGCGTCCATGTTTGTTCAACTTGTGTAAACACAGAGACGCTCGCTGCGGTTGACGTCGTCGTGTCTCCAGTGTCACATGTGGGACACTTTTGGACCGTTTAATGTTCACACTGGAGTCACATACAAGTCACATTTAACTGGAAATGTGAACGACCTCGAAAAAACATCAGGATTTCACAAAAAAATCGGAATTGAGCGTTAAACCTGCAGACTGAACGGAGACTTAGTGTTGGGAGTAACGTGTTATAAAAGTAATAAATTATTGTGCTGTGTTGTTTTTTTTTGCTGTAACACAGTAATGTGGCGTTCAGTGTTGGGAAGGTCACTTTTAAAATGTAATCCCCTACAGATTACAGATTACACACACCAAAATGTAGTTTGTAACATAATCCATTAAATTACTTCAAGTGAGTAATGTAATCTGATTACTTTGGATTACTTGATTTGCTGTAGAGAAACAAAGACGAGGAAATCTTCACATAAGAAGTTTTGTCTGATAAAAGAAAATAAAAAGTCCAGATTTTACTGAACCAAATTAAAAATATTATTGATAGAAGAAGAAGAAACACGTCCACACAGCAGGACGAGTGACGAGTTTAGTCCTAGTTTTAGTTGTGGTTTAGTCCTGGTTTTAGTCCTGGTTTAGTCCTGGTTTAGTCCTGGTTTTAGTTCGGTTTTAGTCCTGGTTTTAGTTGTGGTTTTAGTCCTGGTTTAGTCCTGGTTTTAGTTTTTAGTCCTGGTTTAGTCCTGGTGGTTTAGTCCTGGTTTAGTCCTGGTTTTAGTCCTGGTTTAGTCCTGGTTTTAGTCCTGGTTTTAGTCGGTTTTAGTCCTGGTTTTAGTTCCTGGTTTAGTCCTGTCCTGGTTTTAGTCCTGGTTTAGTCCTGGTTTTAGTCCTGGTTTTAGTCCTGGTTTTAGTCCTGGTTTAGTAGTCCTGGTTTAGTCCTGGTTTTAGTCCTGGTTTAGTCCTGGTTTAGTCCTGGTTTTAGTCCTGGTTTTAGTCCTGGTTTTAGTCCTGGTTTTAGTCCTGGTTTTAGTCCTGGTTTTAGTCCTGGATTAGTCCTGGTTTTAGTCCTGGTTTAGTCCTGTTTAGTCCTGGTTTTAGTCCTGGTTTTAGTCCTGGTTTTAGTCCTGGTTTTCCTGTCCTGGTTCCTGGTTTTAGTCCTGGTTTTAGTCCTGGTTTAGTAGTCCTGGTTAGTCCTGGTTTTAGTCCTGGTTTAGTCCTGCCTGGTTTAGTCCTGGTTTAGTCCTGGTTCAAGTCCTGGTTTTAGTCCTGGTTTAGTCCTGGTTTTAGTCCTGGTTTTAGTCCTGGTTTTAGTCCTGGTTTTAGTCCTGGTTTAGTCCTGGTTTTAGTCCTGGTTTAGTCCTGGTTTTAGTCCTGGTTTTAGTCCTGGTTTTAGTCCTGGTTTTAGTCCTGGTTTAGTCAGTCCTGGTTTAGTCCTGGTTTTAGTCCTGGTTCAGTCCTGGTTTTTAGTTGGTTTAGTCCTGGTTTAGTCCTGAAGTCCTGTTTTAGTCCTGCTGGTTTAGTCTGGTCCTGGTTAGTCCTTAATTTCATATTAAAGATGCACTTTATGGAAAAAATCAATATCTCGATCAATTAAAATGACCTAAATTAAGAACATTTGACTTTATTTGAATCGATTCAACTTGACGAGTCCAATTATCTGCCAAAGGAATAAGTGTGTTTTTCTTAACTGAAGCGAAATTAGATTTTGTTTCTTACTTTAAGTGCAGCCAAATGTATTTTCATATTTTAAGTATAAAAAGTCTCGTTCCGTTGGCAGATCATTTTACTCGTCAAGTGAAATTTACTCAAATCATAATTCAAGTCGTCTTAACTTGGCGAGATTTAGTTTTTTTGCAGTGTGTCTCCAGCTTCAGTCCGTCTCCTTCCAAGCAGCTCCACAAACAGCTGCTTCAGAAGGTTCTGGGTTCGATTCCCAGGTGGCCTAGATCTTTGTGTGTGGAGTTTGCAGGTTCTCCCCGTGTCTGGATGAGGTTCCTCCAGGCTCTGGGTTCCTCCCTCAGAACATGAACCAGAGACGATCCTCCAGCTCAGGTTCTGACCAAGACCAGTTCAAGATCTGGAGCTGAGTCCAACTGCTCCTGAGGTTCAACACCCAGAGACACTGAAGAACGACCAGTGTCGGGAGTAACAGATTACATGTAACTGGAGTTATGTAATCAGAGTACAAATGATGAGTAACTGTATTCAGTTACAGTTACTGTTTCAGTGAGTGGTAATTGGATTACAGTTACTTTGTTGAAATAAATGGATTAAACAGAGGGATTTTACTGTTTTCACATTTTGGGATATTCTGTTTTTGTTTTGTTTGGTAATTCCACTTATAAACCAGATCTAAAACCAGGTCTAAACCAGGACTAAACCAGGTCTAAAACCAGGTCTAAAACCAGGTCTAAACCAGGACTAAACCAGGTCTAAACCAGGTCTAAACCAGGTCTAAACCAGGTCTAAAACCAGATCTAAACCTGGTCTAAACTAGGTCTAAAACCAGGACTAAAGCAGGACTAAACCAGGTCTAAACCAGGACTAAACCAGGACTAAACCAGGACTAAAGCAGGACTAAACCAGGTCTAAACCAGGTCTAAAACCAGGTCTAAACCAGGACTAAAGCAGAACTAAACCAGGACTAAACCAGGTCTAAACCAGGTCTAAACCAGGTCTAAACCAGGTCTAAACCAGGACTAAACCAGGACTAAACCAGGACTAAAACCAGGTCTAAACGAGGTCTAAAACCAGGTCAAAACCAGATCTAAAACCAGGTCTAAACCAGGACTAAACCAGGACTAAACCAGATCTAAAACCAGGTCTAAACCAGATCTAAACCAGGACTAAAGCAGGACTAAAACCAGGACTAAAACCAGGTCTAAACCAGGTCTAAAACGAGGTCTAAAACCAGGTCTAAAACCAGGTCTAAACCAGGACTAAACCAGGTCTAAACCAGTTCTAAACCAGTTCTAAACCAGGACTAAAACCAGGTCTAAACGAGGTCTAAACCAGGATTAAACCAGGTCCAAACGAGGTCTAAACCAGGACTAAATCCTGCTGCGTGGACCGTGTCGTCTCGTTTTCTATCAATAATATTTTTTTTATTTGGTTGAGTAAAGTTTGGACTTTTTATTTTCTTTTATCAGACAAAACTTCTTATGTGAAGATTTCCTCGTCTTTGTTTCTCTACAGCAAATCAAGTAATCCAAAGTAATCAGATTACATTACTCACTTTAAGTAATTTAATGGATTAAGTTACAAACTACATTTTGGGGTGTGTAATCTGTAATCTGTAGGGGATTACATTTTAAAAGTAAACTTCCCAACACTGGGAACGATTCACAAGTCCCTCCTCTGGAACATGGATCAAAAAATAGTTAAATAAGACTAAAAACTGGGCTGAAGCTGTTTTGTGAAAGAGATTTAACAGCCGAAATGATGATTCTGTTTAAGGTGAATGGACTTTAAAAACCAGGAGGAGCGTGTCTAAATGACCTTTAAGTTATCTGTCTGACGGGGAGGGAGGGGCCAAGAGAAAGAAGCGTTTCCCTGCTGGAATTCTTTCATGGATCAAAGGCGTCTGGTCTCACGGGAGGTAAACGGAGCGAGCGGAGTTTGCCTCGGGATCCACAGAATTACAAATCACAGAACTTTTGACTTGAATTATGATTTTGTTTCTTACAGCCAAATGTATTTTCATATTTTAAGTATAAAAAGTCTTGTTCCGTTGGCAGATCATTTTACTCGTCAAGTGAAATTTAGTCAAATCATAATTCAAGTCGTCTTAACTTGGCGAGATTTAGTTTTTTTGCAGTGTGTCTCCAGCTTCAGTCCGTCTCCTTCCAAGCAGCTCCACAAATTATTCCTGAATTATAACTGAACGAAACAAGTAAAATTGAATTCTACTTAACTTTGTGCACTAATAAACGGATCCTTGTTTATGTTTTTTATAAAGATCTAAATGTTCCCGTCTGAGTTTCAGTTTCTCTCGTCCACTAAAATTTGTCGCTCTCTAGATTTTTGTTTTGTAAAGGAGCTCACTGACGACTCCTCTGCGTTTGACCCGTTCTTCAGTGTTGGGAAGTTTACTTTTAAAATGTAATCCCCTACAGATTACAGATTACACACACCAAAATGTAGTTTGTAACGTAATCCATTAAATTACTTAAAGTGAGTAATGTAATCTGATTACTTTGGATTACTTGATTTGCTGTAGAGAAACAAAGACGAGGAAATCTTCACATAAGAAGTTTTGTCTGATAAAAGAAAATAAAAAGTCCAAACTTTACTGAACCAAATTAAAAAAATATTATTTATAGAAAACGAGACGACACGGTCCACGCAGCAGGATTTAGTCCTGTTAAATCCTGGTTTAGTCCTGGTTTAGACCTGGTTTTAGTCCTGGTTTAGTCCTGGTTTAGACCTGTTTACCTGGTTTTAGTCTGGTTTAGACCTGTTTAGACCTGGTTTAGTCCTGGTTTAGTCTTTTTAGTCCTGGTTTAGTCCTGGGTTTATCCTGGTTTAGTCCTCCTGGTTTAGTCCTGGTTTAGACCTGGTTTTAGTCCTGGTTTCCTGGTTTACCTGGTTTAGACCTGGTTTAGACCTGGTTTAGTCCTGGTTTAGACCTGGTTTAGACCTGGTTTAGACCAGGTTTAGAACTGGTTTGGACCTGGGTTTAGAACTGGTTTAGATCTGGTTTAGACTGGTTTTAGATCTGGTTTAGACCTGGTTTTAGACCTGGTTTAGACCTGGTTTTAGACCTGGTTTTAGATCTGGTTTAGACCTGGTTTTAGATCTGGTTTAGACCTGGTTTAGACCTGGTTTAGACCTGGTTTTAGACCTGGTTTTAGACTGGTTTAGACCTGGTTTAGACCTGGTTTAGACCTGGTTTAGACTGGTTTTAGACCTGGTTTAGATCTGGTTTATGGTTTAGACCTGGTTTTAGACCTGGTTTAGACCTGGTTTTAGATCTGGTTTATAAGTGGAATTACCAAACAAAACAAAAACAGAATATCCCAAAATGTGAAAACAGTAAAATCCCTCTGTTTAATCCATTTATTTCAACAAAGTAACTGTAATCCAATTACCACTCACTGAAACAGTAACTGTAACTGAATACAGTTACTCATCATTTGTACTCTGATTACATAACTCCAGTACTTGTAATCTGTTCCTCCCGACACTGGTCGTTCTTCAGTGTCTCTGGGTGTTGAACCTCAGGAGCAGTTGGACTCAGCTCCAGATCTTGAACTGGTCTTGGTCAGAACCTGAGCTGGAGGATCGTCTCTGGTTCATGTTCTGAGGGAGGAACCCAGAGCCTGGAGGAACCTCATCCAGACACGGGGAGAACCTGCAAACTCCACACACAAAGATCTAGGCCACCTGGGAATCGAACCCAGAACCTTCTGAACCATCTGTTTGAGCTGCTGTGTCCTTCAAGACGATGAGGAGCTCGGTCCCGTCCTCAGTTTGGATTATTTCTCTGTGTCTCTTCTGTTCTTCCATTCTTTTCTCCCCGTCCTTCTTTTCTTTTCTTCTCCTCTCCTCTTCCTTCCCTCCTCTATCTCTCCTTCTCCTTCTTCCCTTCCTCTCCCTCTCTCCTTCCTCCTTCGCTAATCCTCCTGTTCTCTCCCTCTCCTCTTCTCTCTCTCCTTCTTTCCTCTCTTCTCCTCTCACTCTCTCCTCCATCCCCTCTCCTTCGCTTTCTCCTCCTCACTCTCCCTTTCTCCCTCTCCCCTCCTCATCTCACCTCTTCCTTCCCTTCTCTCTCCCTAACTCCTCCTCTATCTCTCCTTCTCTCACTCTCTCCTTGATCCCTTTCTCCATCTCCCTTTCTCTTCCTCCCCGTCCTCCTCCCTACATCCCTCCTCTCTCCCTCTCCTCATATCCTCTCCCTCTTTCCTCCTCTCTCTCCTGCCTCCTTCTCTTCTCCTCTCTTCTCTCTCTTCACTCTCTCCTCCATCCTCCCCTTCTCTCCTCCCACTCTCGTCCCCCTTTCTCCTCCTCCCTCTCTCTTCCTCTCCTCCTCTCCCCTCACCTCTTCCTTCCCTTCTCTCTCTCTTTCCTCCTCTCTCTCCCTAACTCCTCCTCTCACTCTTTCCTCCTCCTCCCTCTTTCTTCCTCCTTCTCTCCTCCTCTCTCTCCTTCTTTCCTCTCTTCTCCTCTCACTCTCTCCTCCGCCCTAACCCTCTCTCTCCTCTCATTTTCTTCCTCTCCTCCCCCTCTTCTTCCTTTGTTCTCCTTTCCTCTGTCCTCTCCTCCTTTCTCCTCTCCCTCTCCTCCTCCTTTTCTCTCCATCAACAGACAGAGGTCATGAGTGAGATGAAAATGCAGCTGGAGTTTCTCGTTTTCACACTTTTATTGTTTCATTTCTGCTTTTCCTCCGATCGGAAACAGAATTTTAAAAGAAATGAAATGATTTGGTCACAAAAACAAACCTGGCACCAAATATTTCCACCTGTGAATTTTGAAGGATTAAAACTTTTACCACGACATAAGAACAACAAAATACACAGAAGTGATGGGTGCGTCTTTGTGCGTCTTTTTTTGCGGACAAACACCTGGAGCGTCTCACCTTCTTGACGTATCCCTGGATGAGCTCCGGGGTCGGCTCCTGATCCGCAGACAGACAATCCTCCAACTGCAGCCGATACTGGGGCCCGAGAGAGGGGCCCCGCTCCAGCCTGCGCACAAACACACACAGAACACACACACAGGGGTCAGTACGACAAGCGGAATTTCTTTTTACATAGGACTTTTTTAGGAATTTACAAAATACAAAAGACAATTTACATAGAGATGTGTAATATCCAGGGCCAGTGTACAAGATTAACAGATTATAATGTACACAGCTTAAAAAAAAAAAAGAGGGAGAAACCAAAAACAAGAAAAAAAGGCCAGCAAAAGGAGGATAAAAAAGGACAACAAACAAAAACAGAATATGTGCTACTAAAATATTTCGCATCGTTACTTCAGTCACTCGATACACTGAACATTTCTCTGATCTGGCCAAGATGTTAAAACTTATATCCAGTTATTTATCTTCAGATTTATTATCTACTTACTCGTTCTGAGATGCTTCATTCTAGTCTAGATTCTTTTTTAGGCTACGTTTACACTGAAACGAATCACCGTATCAGACACGGTCTGGGTCCACACGCGTCGTTTCTGTGTCCGTAAGTTTTCTCTATCCACACAACACACGCATCTTTGTTTACGTTTTACACAAACTAAACTTCAAACCACATGACTCATTTACATAAACTGAGTGCACAAAAAAACTTTCACTGTCACTTTCTGTGACAGAGGGGTGTTCTGCTGATGGTGAGTCTGTTCTGTGTTTGTGTCGTGTTGGAGATGGTTCATGTGAAACTTTTCAGAGATTAAACGTGTGCAGGTCAAACACACAGACACACGTTTATATGAATGGATATTGTGTCTCTTGCTGCAGCCTGAAGTGACCCAAATCTTTTATCAAAATTTTTTGGCTTCTATGTTCCTGTATCTGATCTTTTAATGTCAGTCTGAACCACACAGATCCGATTTTTTCAGATGTGACCAGGACACTTGGATATTTGCTCCTGAAACTGATACATATCTGATCTTTTGACAAGTGACTTCAGTGTGAACGAACCAAAGTGCATTCATCCACCTACACGTCATCAACAAGACACAAACGTCACTATTCTGCACTGAAGTCAGGCTCCTCCCACATCACAAGTCTGAACTAATAAATGTCCTTTTAATCCAGACTCAAACCGATTGTCCGTAAAAAGAAAATAATCTCAGTGTTGCACATGGATCTGTGTGTGTGTGAGTGTAAACAAACACACGTGACTCTGTGGTGTGTTCAGGGACAGTAAGACACACACACACACACACACAGACAAATGACTCCACAGATAAATACTGATGCAGAGTCACATATTAACACATTTATCCGTCTGTAAATTGGATTGAGCAGAATGTAGAGAGTCTAAGATTTATAACGAGGTATAACATGCCCACGCGAAATATCGGCCCTATCAGCAAGTATATCGGCCGATATGAGCTCCTGAAACTGATACATATCTGATCTTTTGACATGTGACTTCAGTGTGAACGGTCAGGTCACATTCATCCACCTACACGTCATCAACAAGACACAAACGTCACTATTCTGCGCTGAAGTAGGAGAAAACTGTTCATGATCCATGTGACTGAAGTGAAGCACATCTCCACTCACCACAAAACACCACCACCAAAAACCTGCTCCTTCTCCTTCTCAATCTCCTCCTTAAAACAAGTCAGTTGTTCATGTTGTGGCTCCGGTACGAGAGGAACTTTAAAATCTCCAGGTGCTCGATGCTGCGTCCATGTTTGGACAACTTGTGTAAACACAGAGACGCTCGCTGCGGTTGACGTCGTCGTGTCTCCAGTGTCACATGTGGGACACTTTCGGGCCGTTTTACATTCACACAGCTGATTACATACAAGTCGCATTTAATTGGAAATGTGAACGACCTCGCAAAAAACATCGGATTTCACAAAAAAATCTGAATTGAGCGTTAAGCCCTGCAGACTGAACGTAGCCTTAGTGTTTTGTGGGTGAATGACTCGGCGGTGACAGATCTACATCAGAGTATCAGTGTTTTCAGGCGTCCACACGGTGACGGTTTGGATGAACGAACACTGCATCCACAGCGAAAACCACTCACATACACACTAGTGTGAACGGGGCCTTCGTTAGACGATACATTTATTTAGCATTTCTCTCTGTCCAAAAATAACAACACTTTGTTACTGATGATTTACCTAAAACTTTCAAATTGAAAATAAATATAATCTACAAATACTAACCTTAGAGCAGTTTTACGATGTATAAAACATAAAATTAATAAAATAAACTTTGAAAGTGAAATAAGGAAAATGTCAATCTTTATATTTAAAAACAAACAAAAAACAGACATACTTATTAGGGTATTGAAAAATTTTTTGAAAATCAATCTGTACCTAGTAATACATTTTTTCACTTGCCAAAGTAAACTTTCATGATAAATTTCATGACATTTTATCAATATCTACTGGGTTGAGCGAATATTTGACAGGTTTTCTTTAAACTGGTTTGTCACATTTTAAAATTGGGTCCATGTTGAATTTCTGACATTGGGGAAAATGACGCAGCCTAATACTTATGTAGATAAAAAATATCACAAAATAAACTTTGTTAAGACTGATTAGGGTCCTATGATCCGCACTCACACCTGCAGAACCGAACCGAGTCACAAGATCACGCAGCGCAGATTTAGAGGAGAAAATAAGTCCAGCGGCAGAAATATCAGTTAAATAATGAGGCAGATGTGAGTCCTGCTGCGATTCACTCCTCCAAGAGTTTATGAAGATAAAAACAGAGCGGAGGAGACAGGAGGAGCGGTGATCCGAGCTTGGGCACAGTTCTAAAGTCCGAGTGTGAGTGCACCCGAAACCATTTCAACTCGATTAAATGAGTTCGGAGATCGTCGTTTGACACACAAATCAAAATCGCAATCAAAATTTGATTAATTACACAGACTTAGCTACAGTGACATGTTCCAAGGTTAAGTGAATCTGGTGATTGATGGACGTGAAGCTGCCAATCTGTGCCATCGGCCTCTTCCACACAAACACACACACACACACACTCAGCGTCAACAAAGCAGAGGGGGGCATTTTAATTGAGTCTTCTTCTCGGGAACCACATTTCCGTTAAATAAATTGTTTGCTAAATACATGAGTAAAGTGTGTAAATGAAGCGAGTCCATATTTCTTGTATTTTGGGCTGTCAGGGGCCCAGAGGGGGTCCACACACACACACACACAGGCCCCTAGAATCACACACAGGACGACGTCTTCAGCCCAACATGGAGAAGTGTGGAGCTGTATCCATCACACAGCCGGATCTGAGCAAAGAACGCTCCGGAAATCTGAACATGAGGCCACGAGGGAGAAGAAGTAATTGTTACACACCACCCAGTACCTCCCAACTGCACACATGTACACACACACACACAGGTACCCACTACTCACCATTCAATATTACCAACTATCCAATGCCACTCCCTACCATTACCCCAGCCACACATATTGCTTTTAAAATTCTATAGATTAAAACTCTGCATTTAGTTCCATATCTGGCCAAAATATTTGGGTCCAAACTTTATGCAAATTAATTCAAATTTAGAGGAGCTCAAGGCACTTGGAAATGTCCCTATAGTCTAAAATATAAAATAGAACCAAATAAATAAGGCTGTTTGAATAAATTGTCATTTTATTCTGCAAACACAAACTGAAACTTGCATAAAAGTTTCTTGTAAAGTCGAGCTCCTCTGTGTGTTTGTTTTTGTCTCTAAAGTTGCTCCTGTGTGTGTGACTCCTGCAGTAGATCCTGTTTCTGATCTTCAGTCTTTGTTCTTCAGTTCAAATCTTGAATAAACTTCAGCTCGTTTCAGAAACATCATGGACACATTCCTGAAGCACAGTTTGAGCATCTTCAGCTTCAGTCTCATCATCAGCCCAGTCTGCTGCAGGAACTGTCACAAATGTTTCTGTCAGATCAAGAGAAGAAGAAGAAACTCCTCAAACTCCCTGATCTGCTTCTCTTCATGATCTGCTGGATGAACATCTTTGTCACGTGGCTTTGGTGGAACCTTTGAACCTTCCTTTTCCATCATATCGTGAAACATCAGCTTCTTCTGTCACACCGGAGTGAAGAACGTCAGGACAAACATTTCTTCACTCAAGGAACAAAGACGTCGCCCAAAACTGCTCGGGTGTTTTCTTCACAACTGAATGTTCAGACTGTGAAGCTTCTGAAGGAAAAACCAAATCATCTGCAGGAGCTTCACAACTTCACGCAGAAACGTTATGCAGCTCTTCTCTAAAACATCCCCTTTTTCTTCCAAATTTCTTCTTAAAATCATCTTCTGGATGCTAAAACCTAAAGCAGGGTTCCAATCTAATCAACTGCTTATCTGAAACTTTATTTTTTACCATGCACTGATGGACCACCCTAATGTACACACACACACACACACACACACACACACACACACACAGGTACCCACTACTCACCATCCATCATCCGCACAGTGCAAAAACAAAACAACAAACTAAAAATATCTAGCTCAATTAAAATGACTTAAATTAAGAACATTTGACTTTATTTGAGCAGATTCAACTTGATGAGTGAAATCATCTAACAATAGAATGGGTGTGTTTTTCTTAATTCAAGCATTCATTTGTTTGATTTTGTTTCTTATTTTAAGTGCAGCCAGATGTATTTTCATAAAAAGTCTTGTTCCATTGGCAGATCATTTTATTAGTCGAGTGAAATTTACTCAAATCATGATCAAACTTTAATTCAAGTCGTCTTGCTAGTGTAACAAGTGCTTGCTTATTAATATGTAACAAATGTGTAAAAAATGTGTAATAGATGTAATTGTAATGACTGTGTAATGAACACTATGTGTAATTAGCGGAGTTGAATGATCAGAAGATCCTAGGAAAAACTACAGGAGGACAGGGGCAGTAAATTGAGACAACGGATTAGTTGGAAAATTAATAATGTGTATTATACAGGGAAAAAAGTGAGATAATAAAATATACATCAGCTGCAGCAAACAAAAATCAAGCAACTCAATTAAACGTCCTTGCGAACCGGGTCTGT